ATGAACATTTCTAGTCATCTCAATATACAGTGCATCTGGAAAGTCTTCATAGCGCGTCACTTTTTCCACATTTTTTTGTTACATCCTTACTCCAAAACAGATTTTTTTTTCCATCAACATTCTACACACAATACCCCATGATGACAATGTGAAAGAGTTTTTGAAGTTGTTGCAAATTAATTTAAAATAAAAAAAGCTGAAAAATCAGATGTACATCAGTATTCACAGGCTTTGCTCAATACTTTGTTGATGCACCTTTGGCAGCAATTACAGCCTCAAGTCTTTTTGAATATGATGCTACAAACTTGGCACACCTGCCTTTGGGAATTGTTACCCATTTCTCTTTGCAGTACCTCTCAAGCTCTATCAGGTTGGATGGGAAGTGATTTAGGTTTGGGCTCTGGCTGGGCCACTCAAGGACATTCACAGAGTTGTTGTGAAGCCACTCCATTGATATTTTGGCGGTGTGCTTTGGGTCATTGTCCTGCTGGAAGATGAACCGTCGCCCCAGTCTGAGGTCAAGAGCACTCTGAAGCAGGTGTTCATTCAGGTTTTCATTCAGCTGCATTCATCTTTCCCTCTATCCTGACTAGTCTTCCAGTTCCTTCTGCTGAAAAACATCCCCACAGCATGATGCTGCCACCACCATGCTTCACTGTAGGGATTGTATTAGACTGGTGATGAGCGGAGCCTGGTTTCCTCGAACTGTAACGCCTGGAATTCATTCGGAAGAGTTAAATTTTATTCTCAACAAACCAGAGAATTTAGTTTCTTATGGTCTGAGTGTCCTTCTGATGCCTTTTAACAAATTCCAGATGGGGAGTGGCTTAAGCCTGGCCACCTTACCATACAGGCCGGATTGGTGGATTGCTGCACAGATGGTTTTTCTTCTGTAAGGTTCTCCTCTCTCCACAGAAGAACACTGGAGCTCAGACAGAGTGATCATCAGGTTATTGATCACCTCCCTGACTAAGGCACTTCTCTACTAGAAACGTACATTATCTGTCTCTAAAATAAAAACATAAATACAGCGAATAAGTAGTATTTCATCCCAAAAAGGTCTAAACTGGACTGATGCTTGATTTCTGAGTTGTTCTGTAAAGGAATGAGAGATTCACTTGATTCTCAGATTTTTGTTCTTTATTAAAAACACTTTACAAATGCAAAAATCCGGTCATTGTATTGACATCCTCAGCCCAATTAAACCTACAGCTTTAAGTTTTGTAATGCTAAAAACTATTATTCAGAAAAATACTTTGAGTTGGCAAGTTTAAGTTGTTATCATTCACATCAATTGATTACAAACATGAAGTTATAAATAAATTCTACAAATAAATACTACAAATAAATTTACAATTGTCCCCATGTTTCTGCCAGTCCTGACACATTTGCATTAAGTCTATGACTCAGGACAAGACTTCATTTGATGGAGGAGCTGACAGTGTTCAAGGGTGTGTTCTATTATTGAACTGTATGATTTTATGCTTGTTTTTGTACGATTCTTTTGAGGAAGACAAGCTTAAAAGTCAGGCTCGGTCACATTTTTATAAGTGAAAATGAATTTTTTTGCAACCCCTGGGGTGTTTACATTATAATAAAAACACAGCAATAGTGTCAGACGCAGCAGATTGATTTTATAGAACCAGGTTAAATCAGGTTAAGATACCTATACAGCACTCACGTATATTAAAAATAAATACAGGCCACAACTAAACATGGAGGACGGCCTGCGAGTGGCATTCTCCAAAATGAAATGATTAATAGACTTGAGCCTATTGGTATGTGTGCAAGGTTTATACAGTTGAAGTCAGAATTATTAGCCCCCATTTGAATTTTTTTCTCATCATTTTCCAAATGATGTTTAACTGTGCAATGATATTTTCACAGTATGTCTGATAATATTTTTTCTTCTGGGGAAAGTCTTATTTGTTTTATTTCGGCTATAATAAAAGCAGTTTTAAATTTTTTGAACACCATTTTAAGGACAAAATTATTAGCCCCTTTTAAGCAAATTTATTTCAATATATACAGAACATCGTTATACAATAATTTGCCTAATTACCCTAGTTACTCTAATTAACCTAGTTAAGCCTTTAAATGTCACTTTAAGCTGTATAGAAGTGTCTAGTCAAATATTATTTACTGTCATCATGACAAAGATAAAATAAATCAGTTATTAGAGATGAGTTATTAAAATTATTATGTCTAGAAATGTGTTGAAGAAAATTTGCTCTCCGTAACACGAATTGGAGAAAAACAAAAAGGGGGGCTAATAATTCTGGGTTCCACTTTATATTAAGTGGCCTTAACTAATATGTACTTACATATTAATTAATAGTTTTTTACAATGTACTTATTGTGTAAATACATGTATTTACTGTGAACCAATGCTTGATTAAATACATGTATGTAATTACATCTATAATTAACTTTTGTAATTACATTTGTAAATACACTGTTAACCATCCCTAACACCTTAGCCTACCCTTAAACCTACCCATGCCACCAAACCTGTCCATAACCCAACCTCTATTCCAACTCAAAAGCACCACAAGTGTTCTCAAATACATTATAAACACAGTAAATACATTGTATTTTTTTTGTTGTAAGTACATAGTAGTTAGGGACACTTAACCACTTCAGAATACATTGGGGGTGGCAAGTCAATGACATTGTTATTTTAGGGGTCACAGGCTGAAAAGTCCGGGAGCCCCTGTCCTACATGACTAAATTTGTATTAAACAATGGAGTACATTATGTTGAATGTAAAAACACTACACAGAATTTGAATCCACTTCCTGCATTACAGGATTGTCTGCTGAGCTATATTCTAATGACGTTATGCAGAGAGTGTAAAAACATTTCAGTCACATAGCATTTGTGCAGTTTTTAACAGTTCAATGAATGCTTTGTGTTTTAGTTATTTTTAAACCGGTTTCCTTATGACACACCCTACTAGCCCCTGGCTAAATTTGAGTTTTACGTCAACACTCCGATAGTCTTCACCTGACTTTTGGGTCATTATTACTGTTACTGTTTATGGTTAAACAAGCACTGAATTCGAAATTAAAACACATTCTTTCCGTACCCCCATGTCCTTCTAACCCAGAATGACTTCTGTTCCTCAGTGAAGCAGCTGATGATTAATGAATTGGATGAATGTGAAAACAGCTGATCACACCTTCCAACAAACATGCGTATATCAATGAAGCAGAAATGTGTTGTGTTGTGCTTTGCTTCACATTTCTGTCATTCCAGAGACTCACAATTATAGAAACACAAACATGGAAAGCCTAAGAAGACAAAAGAGAAGTGAGCAAGCTGCATAAAAAAAAACAAGAGATAAAAAAAAAACTTTTTCTTTTAACCTGCCCAATGCCACTTTAGTCAATTATATTTCAGCACCCGGGTTGCCTTGGTGGAAAGCAACGTATTTCAATCAGTCAGGAAGGCTCTCAAAGTATGCACCCCCGACTGAAATGAGACCTCCAGTGGACAGTAGCAGACGAAATGAGACGCAGATTCAGAGTTCCAAATTAGGGTATTAATTAGCAAATAATATAAATATTTTGAACGTAAACATTATGTGAGCAGGATACATTGTAACCCCATGTCCTAACAACTCAAAGCAATCAGCAAATTGGCTGTTTGCACCAGACAAAACCTGATAGAAATTAAACCTCAAGGCCCAAGGTGTTTTTTACATGCATTTTTTATTTCTCTTTGCTATTTGGGCTTATTGGAACCTAATTAGAAAAAAATCTAAGTATGATATTTTGATATGAAGTAATTTTAGAGAAAAATTATGTCCATATATGTGGACTCGTGGTCCGAATTTACATAAAACACTTTTTCCTGACTGTATTTTTTAATGCATATATAAAATAGAAATTTTTTTTAATTGCTTTGAATATCTGAGAGTTAAAAACTTTTTTTCCATTTTGGGCAGTTAAAAATAGTGTTTGGGACATTTCAAATGCTGCAAAAAAGTTGCAGAATGACACTGCAACAAAGTTTAAATAATGCAAAGTATTTTAAATAGCCACTTAAGAGCTAAAACGTGCTGTCCACGTATGTGGACACGCAGGCCCTAAGAGTTTAAATACAGCCGTTCAGAGGCACAGAATAGTGCACTCACTGCACTGCAATGAAATGGTAAGGTTAATAATTTAATTACTACATATTAAACCTCTTTAACATTATTAAATGTAGATGCTGAATCACTGATTTGTGTTGGTTTTGAATCATAGATCTTAAGTTTAATTATAAACGGTTTTATTTTGAAGATCTAAGGTGAACTTTCTGCTGCTGCTTTCAGTAGTATGGCAATAAAAGTCATGTAAAATGCCATTCAAACTCGCATTATTAGCATTTAAGACTGATTAAAGCACATGAGGTCTACCTGAGCTGATCATTGTTTACCTGTGAGAAATAGGTGCTTCTAAAGTATACATTTCAGGTGTTGGTTAGGACAAAAACTCTTTTTAGTATGGAAATTCTTTCTATATCACGTGCTGTTGCTTTTACTTAGAAAATTGTTCAAATCTGCCTTAAATCAGCCTTTAGGCTTGATAGTCAGGCACATGCTTTTCAACCTGGCAACCTGCACTCGCAGTGAAACTGTGTTATGATCCAGGAGTGCAATACATAGTTCAACCACTGGATGTCAAAGTTACATACTGCACCTTTAAGTTGTCCCAAAAACAACCTCAAGAATTGTGTCGTTTCAGCTCATAGAAGTATTTTGAACAAACAATCTTTTGAGTGTATAAATAGATTCACTTACATTTGGAGCTGCCTTGTTGATTGCGAAATGTTTTTAAAAACAAAGTGTTTCCGGATTTTCTGGAAGATAAATTTTGAACAACTTGCTTTTTTAGCCTCAAGCCTAAACTAGTTTTTCGAGATCTGGGGTAGGTTATTGCATCCAAAAAGTGATGAGGGCAAAGGGAACCCAAATCTAACAAACCACAATTACACAAAACTGTCAAAATTATTAAATCCTGTGTATTTATTTTGAGGGTTTAATACTGTGGCTTTCATAAATGCATTGACCATGATATGAATATTTGTATTTATTTTTTTGCCATAATTTATTCAGAGTCACTTATTAAACTGATGATGTAGATGTGAGTTGCGGTATAAAAGTAAACCAATTTGTGGGACGAAAAAAAAGAATTAGCAATGATTGGCGGTCAAAATACTTTCATTTCACCAGAATTGTAACAAACTATAAATATAAAAATTGGCAGTATATATATATATATAAAAGAGTCTTGTATACAGTAATTGATGTGCCAAAATATCTTCAGTTGAAATACCAGTCGTATATATCATGAGCTTCTTTATAATCCCTGTGTCGTGCTATATAATCACAGGCAGTGCATATAGCCAGAACAAACTCTTGAGTTTGCAATATTAAATGAGGAGTTGGAGTGAGATGTTTCCTCCAGTTAAAGTATCTGCGATACGCAACGTCATCCCTATCCAGTAGATGCAGATATTCTGCCAGTGACTTTGGATCTTGAAAGTCCTCCACATGAATAAAGGCATCTCCAGGAACAAAGTTTTCATAGTTCTTTCTTGGAGGACCCAAAACCACAGGAACAGTTCCTGCAGCAAGAGGACCATTGATCTTCTCAGTGATGTAGTCCTTGTGGATGGAGTTTTCGAAGGAGAGGTAAAATTTGCAGCTAGAGAGGGTAGGATAGTACTCATCGTAACTCAGAAACCATGAATAAGCCCTCCCGAACAAAGTGACTTTGATGTGCTTGCTTAATTCTTGATAATACTTGTTCCTTGCGCTGACTCCAGTTGAAGGATCATTGTTACTAACGATCCAACAAACCAGTTTGTCTTTTTTGGGAACGACGAAATCCTCGGCTGGTTTCTTCCTGGTTTTTAATCTCATCCGTACTGCAATATCAGCATCTTGTCTGTAGCTGAGTGTGAGATTGAACAGGTTTTCCAGACCGGGTATCTTTTTAGTGTTGGTCGGTGATTCTAAATGTAACCAAATCCACTTCTGGAACGGAGGACGAGGCGATGGAGGAAGGTTGGACAGATCCCAACTAATGCCTCTGTGATAAACCATGACGGCGTCTGAATTGGTGTAGAGCGATCGATCATCCGTCAACTTACAATTATCAATGTTGTAAAACTTTTTGCAGTCGCTGAATTCAAACCTGTAGTTTTCAGGCCAAACCCACAGGAGTAGGATCGGTTTGTCTTCTGCCGCATTAGAGACAGAATTGTTGCTTTTGTCAGAGCTGCTTTCAGACTGCTGTTCATGTATAACAAATTGAGGTGGACAGTTTCGTGAGGGTGGAAACATATAAAACACGATGCTGAAAGAGATGACACCTGCTAACGTCATTACTAAACCCAGGCGACACAGCGATGAGCCATTTGTGCTTGACATTTTCATATCTGAAAAGAAAGAGTGAACAAAGTTATTTTTCGTTTTCATAGACAAGAATTAAAAGAAATGCCTTAGAATGTGTGACCCTGGACGACTTACTCAAAGAACACGTTTATACTCAAAAAATGCTTGCCTTTTCAAACTACTTAAAATGAGCTAAAATAAACTTTTGGGACAATTTTAAGGGCACCTATGATGAAAATTATCTTTTGTATGTTGCTTGGACAGAAATGTGTGCTGGTAAAGTGTGTCTACAGTCATACTGGAGTGATAGAAACACAATAAGTTAGCTTTTTTTTAATTTCTTGACATTAAAATAGGATCCAAATTCCTCCCATTTTTAAGTCCACAGCAACGTAACGTAGGAGTGCCGTTTCCCTGCCCAGCGAATTTATTGACAGCTGCCTATGTAATGCATATAATCATATCCACTAGACAGGGCCTGAGCAAAGCGACAGAGATTAAAAGATCTGTTCAGCTCTCTTTTATCATCAATCATTATCAAACGTGATCATGAGTGAGTTTAAAATGTTTTAAAACAGTGCCTGTTTGTAATGAATTACATCGATTTTACCGTCTTCAACACAGCTGCATGTCAGTACAATTCTAAAAGAAGACGCTTCAGTCCCGGTTTGTGGACGTTTAATTAGGTTTATTTTGTACATTAACATAACAGATATTCACACAGCAGTGGACATTAACCTGCATCCTGTCACATTTGCCATGCAAAAACTGTGTTAGCATGTGTGCATGAACTTTGTAACAACATTGCATGTGACTCATCGAAATGCTCGAGTTAACTCCACAACAAATACATCAAATAATCATTGGGAAAGTTCTTACTGTAGTATTTCTCCCAAACACTACGTGAGATCTGCTTCATGTCTGTCACTGTGCTGTTTGTCTAATGCAGACGATGCAGAGATTGAGGCACACTCTGACAGGCACGTGGGAACAGTGGGCAGGGAGAACTAGCATTAAAGGCACAGGTAACAAAAACAGCGACACTGTGTCCAGAGCAGAACATTTAATATTCTGAAAGCTAGAATAAATAATCTGATGGGTGTTTTGAGCTGAAACTTCAGACACGTTTGGAAAACACAAAAGGCTTATCTTAAATCTTAAAAATGGGGTTGAATAGGTGCTCTTCATGCCAACTGTATGGTTTTAGCCCTGATTAGTACACGATATGAGAGAATTCAAATCGTGCTGTGATGCACATCCATAACGCTGGAATTGCTCAGAAGTATAAAATGTATTTTTTTTTCTTAGCTACATATTTGAATTGTCAAAACAAGAAAACTCTAGTTTTACACATTTTTTAATGATAAGTTTAACATTTTTAAAAGTGTATTTATTATTAAGACAATGACATAAATAATCAAATTTGTTGAGTTTTGGATCAAATTGAGATAATTTATCATGTAAAGTGATGTTTTGCTCTGTCTCTATTGTTATCGTGAAGAGTTGAGTGATTATTTTTAATTTCCTTTCCCCGACTAAGGAATTTAATTAAGAGAAATTGCTGGAAAAAAGTCAAACAGTTTGTAAATTTGATCTCTTAGCAATAAAAAAAAAAGTGAATATTTATTGAGATGGATTGTTGATGGATGTCGACCAGATTGGGTAGCTTTACTTAGACAAGAATTTTAAGACCTGTTGAAAAAGATTTAAGACCTACAACACAATATTTCAGTGAATTTAAGACTATTTAAGGCCTAAAATTTAGTTTTTTAAATAAGACTTTGAGACCCTGTAATTTGCTGTAAAAATGTTCAAAAGCTGCTGTGAATTTTTAATTGCAATAAAAAAAACAAAAAAAGATGGATGGATTATTGGTGATTAAGTTTGCACCCGTTTGGGTAGCTTTACTTAGACATACAGGCCCGACTAGCTAGCATGGTGAAAGGGGTGGTCCTTTTTTCCTCAAAAAGTGGACCTTTCTGCAGTTAATCAGCCCTTTTTTATAGTTAATTATGAGATTTTGATATTACATTTTAGTGATGTTTTAAGCAGAATTTTTAGCTAAATTAGCTTGTCAGATGATCATCATAACCACACTTTTTAATGTACCAAAATATTTTCTAATGATGTAGAAGAAAGAGATATGAATACATATTTTTAAAATACTAATTTATTACATCATATATATTTAGAAAAAAATAGAAATCTGTTAAAGTTTTAAATTAAAAAAACTGTAGTTTATTGTCATTTATTAGGCAAATAAAAAACTGACCACATTTAGCTTTCCTCAGTAATAATTTGGCTCTTTAAATAATAATAAATTTAAACATAAAAATAATAAAAGAGCTTCATGATTTGTCTAGCCTTTCATTTAAAAAAAGTAAAAAGAGAAACACATTTGATTAGAAATTCATGAATAACATCAATAGCCAAATTTGTATTTAAATTAATTTTAATACAGGGCGCTTTTCATGCTTGACACCTTTTTATTGGTAATGTTTATCTTAAAAAACAAAGACTAAAATTCAGAAATAAAAGTTACTTGTAAAATATTTTCTCTATTTAAAAACAGTACAGAAGCTAAATACAACTTCACCTACATGTGACTGTATGTTTTCTTGCACCGCTGGTTGTTGACCTCATGAAAAATATGTGTTACCATTAGCCAAAACCGATTAGCTGAGGTCCCACTGATGTGACGAATTCTGCTTGGTAGTAAAGCCTTTTTCAATAGGTTACTTTTTACAATTTATGATAGTGCAGCAATAAAAATAGAACAAATGAGCTCATGTGTGGGACAAATTCTAGACTTTGTCATTGAGGGGTGGGTCTTTCAAACCACCCGAACCTGCCCTGGCTACATTTCAGACCTACAACTCAATATTTAAGTGAATTTAAGAGCGCGCGGACACCCTGATCCCAAATATTGTCCACATCCACATAGACCATACATCAAAGGAAAACTGATTCATTCAGCTCATAGATGATCTACACATGCATGTCAAATTAAATAATAAAACATTTATGATTGGTTTTGTGGTCCAGGGTCAGACATGACAAACGAAACGAAGTAAAATGAGTCAAATTCCGATTACAGGTATTAATGTTGTTAAATAAGTTCCTCACCTGATTAAAGAAGAAATAAAGCATGTAGTGTGGTGTTGCATGAAGCCAGCGTCTGATGACTAGATGAATGACCAGAAATACGGAAGTTTCTTTAAAACATGATCTCTCTGAAAAGAATGGGTAAAAAAAACTGGGTTGTTGTTGAGCATTGAAACACCTGAAGGACGACCCAATGCTTAAGAGAGACTTAAAACACAGACCAATCACAATCCACTATGCAAATATCACTATGACACCATTGCTTCTTGACAGCCAGTGAAGCAACCAAACAAGCCAAACCGGTAAATCAACAATGACCCAGAACAAAAGAACATTAAATCCAAGAACAAATCATCAGAAAGCATCATAATTATCATTACTGTTTGCTTTTTATATGTTGCTCTAGACATTATTCAAATTACAATGAAGATAATTTAGGCAATTATAGTTTTTATTATGTAAACAGATTTGAATGGAATGTATTTTTGCCCAGCAGATGGCACTGCCTCCAAATAATGGATATCATGGCAATGCTTAATCACTGGTAAAAACAAATGTGTGTAAGCTTTAATTGTGCTTATATTATATTATATTATATTATATTATATTATATTATATTATATTATATTATATTATATTATACTATATTATATTATATTTTACTATATTATATTATATTATACTATATTATATTATATTATACTATATTATATTATACTTTACTATATTATATTATACTATATTATATTATACTATATTATATTATACTATATTATATTATATTATATTATATTATATTATATTATATTATACTATATTATATTATACTATATTATATTATATTATATTATATTATGTTATATTATATTATATTATATTATATTATGTTATGGTATGTTATAATATATTATGTTATATTATATTATATTATGTTATATTATATTATATGTTAGTAGACATAGCAGTAATTTATGCAATACAATTCATAACACAAACACTGGAAAAATATTTTTAGTGTGTGTTATTTTCAATTGCTTTCGATTGTATATCGCATTTCTGTTTGTTTTTCATATATTATAGACCGTTTTGAGGAATGTAAACAAAAACAACAGTCCCAACTTATTTCCTATTTTACTTGTTTAATTTCTATAGCTTCCCAGAATCCAAAAAAAAGTCACATATTGATGAATAATGTTATGATAGCTGTTTTAACATTAAGATATGATTAAATTGCCTCTTGTTACAGTTGTGAAGTAGATTGATAATAAACAGTAAATGTTCATGGGCCAAATTAAATGACCACATTGTTACGGTCTAAAGTATAATATATTATATTATATTATATTATATTATATTATACTATATTATATTATATTATATTATATTATATTATATTATATTATATTATATTATATTATATTATATTATATTATATTATACTACATTATATTATATATTACTAAATTGTTATTACGAACTCTTCATTTATTAATAAAAATTACATAATTAGTTTGAACAGTCAATGAGCGGAAATTGCATGATTTCAACATTGTGTCAACAATGGTTGGCTTATAGAAGTAATATAAATTCCCATGTTACTCACTGATATTGGCCTTCATCTGTCAAATCTACGTCTTAAACTAGAAAACTGTGTTGTGTTGGAGGTCGTTGATCAGGTCTCAATGAAGATCTCCCCTTTCTTCCCTTTAAAAATCTTCACCTGGTCTCCGAGCATATAACAATTAAATATAACAATATAACGGCTGATAACAATTAAAATAGTGTTAGTAAAATCATTTATATAACAAAAAGTGCTGGGCAAATATTAATCACATTCCAAATAAAAGTTTGTTTTGAAATATTTTCTGTGTGTGTAATTAGTATATTTTATATGTATACATATATACATACAGTGGCTCAGTGGTTAGCCCTGTCCCCTCACGGCAAGAAGGCCACTGGTTCATGTCCCGGATGGGTCGGTTTGCATTTCTGTGTGGAGTTTGCATGTTCTCCCCGTGTTGGCATGAGTTTCCTCCAGGTGCTCTGGTTTCCCCCACAAATCCAAAACACATGCGCTATAGGTGAATTAAATAAACTAAATTGGCTGTAGTGTATGTGTGTGAATGAGTGTGTATGGATGTTTCCCAGTAGTGGGTTGCAGCTGAAAGGGCATCCACTGCGTAAAACACATTCAGTTGGCAGTTCATTCCACTGTGGCGACCACTGATTAATAAAGGGACTAAACCGAAGGAAAATGAATGAATGAATGTATGAATGAATACATACACCATGCATATATTTGAGAAAATGTTTAATTATATTGAGATACAAAATTCATATGTATACAAAACAAATTATGCAAATTTAAATATCTGAAAAAGTTAAACTTGTTTTTATGTATTTGTGTGTATTACATTGTATATAATATAAATACAAACATATCTTATGTCAAAAAAAAACTTTTATTTTGCATTAATCTTTGATCAAAACTAAACTTTTTTTTTTTTTAATTACTGCTAATAATAAGAATTGCTTAAAGGTTGATATTCTAACAATATAAAGGCTTTACTGAACATGCAGTTATGCAGAATTCACCAAGTTAAATTGAATACTTTAAGACATTTTTAGGACCATTGTGAATGAAATTTTAGACTCATAAAGGGCTTAACGCAAAGAATTTATTTAAATAGCCCAGATAGAAAAGATTTTTATTTGCTCTATCAAAAATAATATTATAATTTAATATGTTTAATGATCATTTAATAATAAAAATAGATATTTCTTAGCAAAATATTTTAAATATTGTTTAAAAACAAGCAAGCTCTACTTGTATGGATACACAAACTTTCTTTAAACTAAAAATGAAAAAATAAATAAAATTTACAAATGTAGAAAACTATAATAAACTAAATCTATGTACAACAATCTGCCCAGGTTGGTGTCCTCAGCAGTAAACACATGGAGCACTTTTAAACAAATGTTATTGTAAAGGAAATAATTAAACCATTATGTTAAAAAGAGTTAAAAATGACCTTTTTAAATAAACAGTTATAAGTTGAGATGGATTGTTGGGGATTGTATGGGTATTGGCCAGGTTGGGTAGCTATAGAGGAACAAAGAAAAATTTAGACCTTTTTAAAAAAAGATTTAAGATCTACAACACAATATTTCAGAAAATGTACGACTTTAAGGCCTAAACTTTACATTTTGAGATTCACTGAATAATGTAGTACCACGATACCGACTGGAACATCATGCATAATTTAGTAATATAAACTTGTAATTCTGGTTAGCCCTTTCAGCAGTTTCATTGTTCTCTTAAACATCCCTATTACAGTTCCATTGAAAGCATTGTAAAATCAAGACTTAGGCTTGTGTTAGATTGTGTTTGTTTGGCTGATCCATTGTTGGGTTTGCTCGTCAATTTATTGGATTGCTCTAATACATAAAATACTTTATTGAAGTTGATATTAATATGTCCCCTTTTTAAGGATCATAAGCCAAAAATCTGTCTGTGAAACAGTACACCATCTACAGGTAAATGATTGTGAATTGTGTTCAGCAGGAAGATTTGATCCGCAATTCCAGCAGCTGTAAAGTTTATATATCACCAGAGATGGTAAAAGCATTGCAGCTGCTTGTTCAAACTACCTGCTTACAATGGGCTAAAACAAAACAATTTGTGTAATTCTATAAGGTTTTTACGTTCAATGAACTTTCATGTGTAAAATATGATGTTAAAATATAATTGTTTTGTGTTACGACAACATGAAGGAATTGCGTTGGTGTAACTACATGGTTAGCGGATGTAGTTTCCAGCATGCTTTTGTGGGGGATTTAATTAAGAGAGGGAAATGTTGACAAAAGTAATCTTAGGTGTTTTAGGTTAAGAGAAAGGCTTGTTAGAGTTTAATGCTATAAGAAGTCTAAGTTGATTTTGATGCGTTTTTCTCTGAGCCTAAAAAAAATGGAAAGAGAGTGTAAATCTGAATAATAATAATAATAATAATAATAATAATAATATGGATAAAATACAAATAAAATTCAATCATACAATGTAAAATAACACTGTATAGTTTATCATATATAATGGATAAATTCAATTAATCTTTGTTAAAGTCTGTGTGAACCTGAAGTTGCTGAGACTTATTTCAGTGTTGATGTACTGTACATCCAACTGAAATGAAATATATAGTAGGGGGCAGGGCTTTGTATTTATGCATCATTCCCGCATAGCAAACTAATGGTAGGAGAGGGTATTAATATGCAGTTCCTATAGAATCCCTTAGGTTAACAAAAGGACCGCCACTCCAAAGGTGGAAGCAAATGCTCAGAGTTTGATTAAAGGTCTCGTGAAGTGCTTTAAAATATGCATTTTTATTTAATAGCTGCGTCCCAAATCGCATACTTAAGCACTATTCTACGCCATTTTGTAGTATAAATAGTATAAGAAGTCTGTTCACACTGAAAACTCTAAAAATAATAAGTGCACTTTAATTACCCGGATGATGCACTCATTCAGCCGCTAAAATGAAGTGTGTAATGATGGACACTTCACGCACTCAACGGCCGCAGGTTTGCTCACGTAGCGGAAGGGGCGGAGCTATCGGACGCACATGTTAAATAACTTTATTTATTTTGGATGGTGAAAGCAAAATTCTCCTACGAGAGTGATTATAGCGCCTCCCGATGGTGAATGCGGCAACACTCACGGCAGGTATTATTTGATAATTCGTTCGTTTATTTCACTGATTTGGCAACCGTCAAACATCATCAGGGAAACAGTTTGAATTTCCGCTTCGTAAAAAAACATAAGTGTGCCATTTGGGACGCCACTACATACATATACTATTCTGTTGAGTGTGTAAGTGCATAAGTACATAGTGCATGAGTGCATAGTGTATAGTGTGCCATTTGGGACGCAGCTAATGTCTAAACCAAATCTTAACCAAGACAGAGGGTGGAACATAGTGTAGCTTCTCTCCTTTTTCTAAAACAGCTAATAGGATTTTGTTTTAGCCACCGCTCTGCCAGTGAGAGGGGTTGAGCTCAGGTGCATCAAATGAAAAGCGTCTTGAACGGGGCGGGGCGTGTCAGATACTACAGAGCGTTTAATTGGTTATGATTT